TAAACCCTAAATCCTAACCCCTGACCTCTTAAGACCCCGCCTGCACTCCCCTGTAAGCCCCTGAGACAGGCCTGGGGCTCTCCGGGACCTCCTCAAACCTCCCGGGCGCTTTCCTTCTGACCTGGGAATGAACCCTAAACTCTAAACCGTGAAACCCTAAACCCTAAACTCACAAACCCTAAGCCCTAAACCCTACCTGACACCACCAAACAGCCAAGGCTGCAATGCCCACATCCGCAGTGGTTTGCCTTGGCACTGGCTTCCAGAGTCACGGCGGGATTTGGGGTTTAGTTTTAGTGGTTCAGGGGTTCAGGAGTTTAGGCTTTAGGGTTTTGGGGTTTACGGGTTTAGGGCTTTAGGGGCTTAGGATTTAGGGGTTTAGGGGTTTAGGATTTAGGGGTTTAGGGGTTTAGGGTTTTGGGGTTTAGGGGTGTAGGGTTTAGGGTTTGGGGTTTGGGTGTTTAGGGGTTCCATGTTTAGGTTCAGGGTTCAGGCGGGCTTGGCGATACCTTACCTCAAGAACGGAGGGTCCAGAAAGGTTGCGGGGGTTGCAGGAAGGTGTGAGGGGGGTCCCAGGGGTGTCCCGTGAGTCCCAACGGGGGTCCAGGGGGTTGAGGGCGCAGGGTTCAGGGGTTGGCGCCAAATCGGAGTTGTTGAGCAACAACCCCCATACTTAAGACAGGGGTGGGCAATTCGACGCGTCAAAAAGCTGCTGTGACATCCTGCTCTGATTCTTCTTTCCCATTTCCACACATAAGCAACAACAGTCACCTGCCAGGTTCAGGTTTCTTTATGCAGAAATCTTGCTTTGCCTGTAGCTCCGGCTGCCGGAAGTACCGCTAAAGCAAGTACTTGCCAGAAAAAGCAAAACTTGAGATTATGCAAATAACACAATGCTTTGCCTCAACGAACTCTTTGAAAAAAGTCTTCCGCGCTGCGCGGGGGCTGATGTCTTAGTTCCTCAATAGCCGTAAGCCCTCAAATGTTTTGTCCCACAGTGCAGGGCTGATGTCTGAGTTCCCGAATAGCCCCCTACTAGACCCGGGAGTAACCTAGGCATAAAAAAGGGTACCCTTTTTGGGTTTTAAGGGGATTATAAGGGAACCCCAAACCCCAAAAAAGGAAAAAAGGGTCTACTTCCGGTCCTAGCCTACCTCAGCTTTGCTCCGCAGATGTCTTAGTTCCTCAATCTGCGCCCCACTTTACAGGGTTTGAATAGAAAGAACCTTACTGCCCCCCCATGCCTGGCCGTGTTTTTGCAAGATTTAGGATGATGTTCCTGTTCAGAAGTGGTTTCGGTTTGCCAACCCGAACAACTTCCCAAGGAGTCCTGAGCCTGCCAATTTCCCGCAAAACATGAAAGACATAGGGCGCCTTATTCGTTTGCTGAACTTGGGATGTATCAAAAAAAGGGACCAAAACTCCTCAAAAGGGGAAGGTGCACCTCAGGACATCCTAGATGTCTGTATAAGCCCTAAACCGTAGACCCTAGACCCTAAACCCTAAACCCTAAACCCCAGACCCCAAACCCTAAACCCTGAAGACCCTACATGGCCCAGGTTGCAGCGGCCGCACGGATCGCACCCTTGCAGGCTCGGGAGCCTCCGGATCGACGCAGAGGCCGGCGGCCAAAGGACCCGACCTCGTCCCATCGGAGCATAAGGGGTTTAGGGTTTAGGGTTTAGGGTTTAGGGTTTAGGGGTTTAGAGTTTAGGGTTTAGGGTTTAGGGGGTTTAGGGTTTAGGGTTTAAGGTTTAAGGTTTAGGGCAAAGGTAACCCCCGACTGCTGTTGGGGGATTGTTGGGGGGGGGGGGGGGGGGTGGTTTCTTTAAAGCCGAAAGGGCGCAAGTGCTTTTCCAGTGCCCCGCAGGGTTCGCCTGGGCTAACCCTCATTTTGTACCCCGCTATACAAGCCCTATTAAGGACTGTTATGTTAGCATAAGGTAGAACATCCCAAATTAAACTTTGGGTTTAGGCTTCGGGTCGCTCAAATCGAGGGACACGTCTTGCCGAGCGTGGCTTAGCCGCCAGCAGCCTGGCAATGGGAACCACTTAGCAGGGAACAGGCGAACGAGGTATCCTACATAACCCCCGTAAAGGGTTTATGTCAGGGTTTAAGGTTAGGTTCCACGGCAACCAAGGAATACCCACGGTACACCTCTCAAAGCTAAACCTACGAAGAAAGGAAGTATGGGTGTCACTAGGGGGGGGAGCCCTTGACTTTAGCCTTTACGCAGACATCCACTAGACCCGGGAGTAACCTAGGAAGAAAAAGGGTGCCCTTTTTGGTGTTAAGGGGCTGAAATGGGAACCCCAACCCTAAAAAATGGAAATAAGGGGCGTGCTCTGGGTCCGAGTTCATCCACCATGGCTTGGATGAAGGGGTACGGACGTCCGGACCCCACAAAAGTCCCAGCCTTCCATGAACTGGGCCAAGAATGGATTCTTCGTCTTGGCACGCACCTTCTGCACCTAATGACAGAAAGGGATCCTCCTAAAGGACCCAAAGGGGCCGCGCCAAAGATGGCAAGCTACATCGATGTCCACCGAACTTGAGTTTTCAAGACCTCGAAATTTCAGTCCATGGGGACCCCTCAAAGCCTCCCCCAAAAGTCCGGGCAGGGTGAGGTGGGGGGGGAAGGGGGGAGGGGTTTGGGAGACCCTCAGAACTTAATTTCTTGAACCCGAACTGGTTTAGGGAGAAGAAGGCCTAAACCCTCAGAGCCCCGAGAGCCCTAAACCACTTGGGTTTAGGGTTTAGGGTTTGAGGTGTAAGTTCAGGCAATCTAAACTCTATAGAACTCCGTAAAAGCATTCTTGGCAAGCAGCCTCCTGTTCTTGAAGCATCCGCGGGTCCAACTCCAGGTCCTTTGAGCTTTTGACGTGCGTGGGTTTTTTGGTCTTGGTGGGCTCAAGACAAAAATCAGGGTTGTCTTGTTTCGGTTCCCGTGTTTCGTTCTGTGTCTTGCTGGGTTGTTGCTGTTCTCTCGGGTTTTCTCTATGTAAATAGTATGTGTATATATATATATATATATGTGTTTGTATTTTTAGTTATATTTGTTTATGTATTCCTTTTGATTTTAACTATGCATATATATATATATATGTATATATATATATTAATATTAATATTATAAACAAATTCTTCCTGTGTGTTCTGTTGTGGAATCGCCCTCTTCTGTCTTTCTCCTTTCTGTTGTAATTTCTCTCTTTCTTGTATCTCTCACTCTCGGTCGCGCTTTCTCTCTCTCTCTCTCTCTCTCGCTCTCTCTCTCTCTCGCTCTTTTTCGCTCTCTTTCGCCTCTTCCCTCCTGTACCGTACCTGACATGATGTCGAGACCTCCGAGACATTCTACGTGAAAAAGGAGGCGGCCACTCCAGAGCATCAGCGTTTGGGGGAAGTTATTTAGAGCTTTAGGATCTTTAGGAATGTAGGGTTGGTGTTTCAGGCTCTCGGTCTTTTTGGGGACTAGGGTGGCTCGCCCAAACCCTAAACCCTAGACCCGAAACCCCGGACCCCTCCTACTTCGACGACAGCCCCTGGTGTACGGTTTGGAGCCTCGGGTTTACGACTTGGCGTCCGAAGGCTTCGGGTTTAGGACTTTAGGGGTTCAGGGTTGGGATGTTGCCCCCCTGATACGAACAGCCCTGATTAGGAGGGCTTTTGGCCAAAACCCTAAACCCTAAGCACTTACCCCTAAACCCTAAACCCAAACCCTAAAACCTAGCCCTGAACCCGGAACCTAGCCCTCAACGGCCTCGGGAAGCGTTCTGTCCTCCGGCTCGAAGTGTGCCGCGTGTTGGACGCAGGCCAGGCACCAGTACAGCAACCATTGCATGCTCTTGGAGGCTGCGAGCTTCGGGTTTCTCTCGTGCTGTAGGGTTTAGGGTTTAGGGCTAGGGGGTTAAGGGTTTAGGGTTTAGGGTTTTAGGGCTTAGGGGCTGCAAGGGCTCTGGAGTTAATAGGGTTCGGGGTTAAGACGGGCAAAAAAAATGGTGTACCGGGGACAAGGGCTTCTGGAGCCAAGGTTTCTGGGGTTTGGGGCTTACATAGGGTTTTGCTGTCTCTCTCTCTCTCTCTCTCATTCTCCCTCTCTGTCTGTTCTCCGTCTCTCTAGATGTTTTGGAGCTTGGAGGTTGAGGGCTTCGGGTTTCGGGGTCCACTGCCAGGGTCCATATAAGGTTATCAGGGAACCTTGAACCCCAAAAAAAGGGGAAAAGGGCACCACTGGGCTGCCAAGGATTTAGGGTGAGGATTTACGTAGGGTTTAGGGTTTAGGGTTTAGGGTTTAGGGTTTAGGGTTTAGGGTTTAGGGTTTAGGGTTTAGGGTTTAGGATTCAGGGTTTAAAGGTTGTTGCAGGTTAGGAATAAGATTAAGGTTTAGTGTTTAGGGTTTGGGGTTTAGGGTCCGGGTTTAGGGATTAGGGAACCCTAACCCTAAACCCGAAACCCCCAAACCCTAAACCCTAAACCCCAAACCCTAAACCCCACGCGGAGGTTCATTCCCAGCTCGGGGAGTTGAAGGGGGGTGGGCCTCTAAAAACCCTGCGAAGCCGGTCGCGACATCTCAACCCTACCCCATGAACCCTACACCCGAAACCCGATATCTAAAATAACCCGTGCTAAGGACCCTGAATTGGCTTAGAAACCCCGAATCGCTAAATTGACCAAGCCGTAAACCCTAAAGCCTCAGACTCGTCTTCCATCGGGGGAAGCTCTGACAGGGCTCAGGGCCTGGCAGACCCTAAGCCCCTTG